CTTCCTTGCATGATACTGTGAATGAAAATATAACAAATGAACTATGTGGAACGTATCCATTGTGGCATGGTCTAGCGTCAGCATTTCCTGCTTCTCAAAAGCACTTATTCATTTATGAAGTTTGAAATACCTCTTTCTTCTCCACAATTTTGGCACACAATACCAACAGAAGTCATTTTACATCACAACTACACTTCAAGTAACCTTTTACTTCTATTTTTACCCTAAGCCTTCTTTTCTATGAAGCAGCATTTATTTACTCTTAACCTCAGAACATGGCATACTAACAACACATACAGAGGAAATACTATAAATATACTTGAGATGTAAAATACTTCAGGAAATTCAAAGGAGTAGGAGGAGTTAAGAAGGATATTGCTGCTACCCCTATTCTTTCAGTTTTGTGGTTTTCTAATGCGTAAGCATGCATAGAGTTTTATAAACAAAGCGATAAATAAATAGGCACGCTTTCCTTTTGTCATCACCTTCCATGAAGCTGAGGAGTAACTACAGGTTTCTTTTTTTGCTTCAGCTCGTTATATTCATGCAATCCAAGGACAGCACCTTCTGCAGCTGCTTGAGCATCTCCACAGGGGTCTACTTCAACACAAGGGATCTCCAGGTCTTGAATTTGTCTACAGCCAACTGAAAAATACAGTACAGAACTGGTAGGCTGAGTACTGCACAAAACAGCAAAACAGGTGTCCGAGGTGATCAGTGTGACATTTCAAGGAAAAAATAGTTTTAACTCAAGATATCCGAGTTTATAAGTAAATCAGGATAGTAGAATAATTAAAAATACTAATGACCATATACTGACATTTTGCCTAAAAATACCACTTAATTAATTGTAATGCTTACGACATTTCACAAGAATAAAAACTAGAGTCCACAGTTTTCTGATTCCTCTAAGCTCACTTTATATCAAAGCAAAGCTCTATCATTGTGGAATGCTATGGATTATGATTATCTACAGGTATCAGAAATTTGCTGTAATTTATTTTTTTGCTAAGAGTATATGACTGCTCTTGTCCTCCAAATGAGTTCATACACACTTTTATAAACAAACAAAAAATATTCCATAAATTCTATACTGTACCCAAATAATTTAACAATGTTTTGGCAGCTGCTGAGACAATGTGGACTAGCACTTTGGACATACAGCTGTCATACATGTGTGACTGACCTCCCATCTCAGATTATAAACTCTGCAGGGAGAACTCTGTTTATCCGTGTTTTATGCACTTAGCTGCAGCAGTCGTCCTTGATTAAGATAGAGGGACCTTCTCTGCTTACAACAACGGATAATACACTGAATCATACTACTGATGTTGTGAAAGGTATCAGTTTATAACACAAATATCTCGGTTACAAACTAAGTGGCAAAAGCAAATATATGTGCATACTTAATTACAGCGTGAGCATGAAGTGAGTCTATGATGCTCTCAAGCTTCCAAATAGTAGTAATTAAACAAGTGCCTTTTCAATATCACATCGTTTAGACAAGTTAGTTGCTATAAATAACTGCAATCACCTGTCTGCAGGTTGATTTACATGCTTTGTAACTCCTTCCTCACTAAGGAAAAGCTCACATGAATATCAGTGACAAGTAAATGCATTTACCAAACCATGCAGTAGGTTTTGCATTTCAAAACAAAATCATATCTAAACTCACTCTTCAACAATGGAACATGCTGCACCACTGCAATAGCTTTATAGACAAAACATTTAAGAAAATTTAAACATAGTTAACCTGCAACAGCTGCACGAATATTTTCTTTGCCTTCATTCCAGTTTTCTTGGTCATTTACTCCAGCATTCTTCTTACCCAAGCCAACTACAACCACACTTGGAAAGTCCTAGGTGAAATCAACACACAAATGGATTCACTTTCCTCATTACAGCTACAGCAGACACTTGTTAAAAATACTTTACTTTCCAAATCAAACCAAGCAGAGTGTTAAAATACATTCAGTACTTTATGTTATGCACATTTCTTTAAGAGTGCCAGTATGGTGCCACTATCTTGCACTCCCAGTCATTTGCCACAGGTATGCAACCAGTTGTTCTGTTGTCCAGTAGCAGATGTGCATTGCAGCAGATAAGCTTTATGCTGAACACGTAGCAAACTTGGTACTTCTAAGGGCAAGTCTAAGAGTCCTCTGAAAGCAGGTCCAGCTTTCCAGCTACAAAAAAGGCCAGAACTGAGCTGGAGAAGCGTAACTTTTTTTTTGGCACAGTACTGTGTTCAAGGAAATAAAAATCACTTCAAAGGCTGAGCCTATTAGCTCAGCTCAGGAGCTGACCTGCCATGATTTGTCAGGTAACAAACCAAAGCTGGACAGAGGTCCACAGCTCCAGAAGCCAGGAAAGCAATGTAGCACAGCAGATTAAATACTTGCCTTATAAATTGCAAGCGGAAGGTGCAAAGGAAGAAATAATGAAGATGAAAGGAGCCTTTTGAGTCAAATTTGTATAAAACTCAAGGTTATACATGTGAACAGATTTCCCATAGTTCTGAAGAAAAATGAAGTTAATCTTAGGCCTTCCCTTGCATCACAAATAGCTGCTCTGTCTGATTCTAACAATCAGTCTTCAAACTGCTACACCATAGTAAAGTCTTTTCAGTCCGCAAGATGCTGAAACGTGTGTTAGCTTTCCAGAAGATGAGTGATTCAAGCTAACGTTTTTTCAGTTATCATTATTTTACTCACTTAGAAGAGTGCATAAGGCCAAATTCTACTGCCTTCTCTTGCTGAGATCTGCTACTCACCCCAGAGGCCATCCTGTGTGCAGAACTGGGATAATGGGACCTTCAAGGGACTCAACTTCCATGAAATTTCCGAGAGCCTTTCTAATGAGTCCAGTGTCACCTGTCTGGGGTCTCAGCACAGAATTTATACGTGGTAGGCAATACTCACTAAAATTGTTTTAGTTACAATCATTTAAATAGCCCTAATGTAAGGTTCAGTTACTTTGGGACACCTAGTGTCATATTACATCTGCCTAGTCTCTAGCTATTACTCCAAAAAGGCACAAATTGTACTATACTTGCCAGCTCCATGTAGGTGTGTTAGATATATTAGGGCTTCTCAAATGGCACAAAAGCCTAACTTTAAGCAGATGAATCCCCATCTCATACCCTTGTGATACATCATGTCTGTGCAGATAAAAGTCCTGCCTGAAGAACAGTCCCACATCTTGTTTTCAAAGGTTTCAAGCACACTTTAAAACCTCTGATTAAAGCCTGTGATGGGACTACCTTGTGTTAGAACTGGTATGTCTGGAAGGTCTTTGCACATACCGGTACACACCTGTGCACTCACTCCTCCTGAACACAGATGGCACAGCAGCAGTCTGATCCAAAACTGTTGTGCTTCAGCTCATTCAGTAACCAGTTACTCAGAGTACACCACCTTTGGAGCAGACTTGTCTACATCTTCTCAATTTGCAGCACAGTGAAAAGAGTACAGGACTGTGCAAAAGGCCATGCAAACACGGGGAGTGAAGAGCAGGAGGTTTCAGTAAGAACCACATCTTTTGTTGGGAGGGGTGAGGGGAGAAGAAGGGCAGAGCATTTATACAAGCACAGCAATGAATGCAGCTTAAAGTAAGATGTAAGGGCAAACCTCACACTTTAATCCACATGCACATGAAAATCCAAAGTTCATACCTGATGCAAACCATGGAATATGCGTGTTTTGCCTTTCTTCAAAGGTGGCCCACATCTAGGACATAAAAAGATTCTTTTAATAAAGAAGTCCTTACTGGTGATAAATCTTACGGTACTACGTTCCCTCCATGACACAGTGCTCCTCAACACTGTGCTGGGACATTTGGCTCAGTGCCGATGCAAAGAAAAGGCTAGTGCCCATGAACATTTTGCATCTGTTTCCTCAGTGCTTGGTTTTTCCACAAGAGTTCACCTCCAAACTGCTTGGCCTGGTAGAAGTAAATACCAGCCTGAAAAGCGGTACAGGTACAAATATTAAAATGATACAAGAGACCATTCTTATTGGCAGTTGTAGGTACTTGAAAACACTTCAGAAGCTTATCACACACTTACACGGACAGAAGTTCCCTCAGTTTTCCAGACACAAGTGTATTGAAAGCATCGCCTGCACTAGTGAACTGAGCAGCACCTTCATCCTTTTCACTTGAGTAGATTCCCAAAACAAGACCCTAAAAAGGACACGCATTAATGTAAACAACATGAAAATTAGAGACCCCTCTGAAAGGCAGCAAGCACACTGTTCAAACTGTAGCCGCTTCTGTGTATCTCCATCTTGGTTTATGTATGTATCTAACGTGATACACAGAGTAACACTTTAGTAAACCAGGATAAACTACTACAGCTACTTTTAAGTGTGAAAAATAAATTAGATACAGTATGACTAAGGTTATAATCATTCTGCTTAACATGCAGCGACAAAAGCTCTCTGAATCTGTAATTTTAAATATAAAAGGTCACTGTTTTTCTCTTTCCCATCCCCCAGAGGCAGATCCTGAGCCAGGCGCACCGCTGCCCACGCAAGCCCACCGGCAGGGCAGGCCCCCGGGGGCGCAGCCTCCCGCCGCCCACCCCAGCGCCGCCGGTTTCACTTCAAGGCCCAGGCCGGGCCGCGGGGGGGGGGGGGGGGGGGGGGTGCGGGGCGGGCACACGGGGACCCCGGGGTTGTGGGCGCCGGGCACGCTCCTCCAGGAGCGGCGGAAGCGAGGAGGAGGCAGCGTCACACCCCCCCACCCCTCTCCCCCTCACCTTCCCGCCCGCCCCGCGGCTGTAGCCCCGCGGCGAGGGCTCCTGCGCCGCGCGGCTGCAGGCCCAGGGCAGCGCCCGGCCGAGGCGGCGCGCAGCCGCTCCCCGCAGCCGCGGCAGCAGCAGCAGCATGGCCGGCGGGCCGGCGAGCAGCGGGGCGGGCGCGGCCGGCGGGCGCCCCCTCACCCCGGCGCGCTGGCGGCCTCATCGGCCGGCGCCGCGCGGGGCGGTGCCCGCGGAGGGGCGGGACGTGGGAGCCGCGGACGGGCCGGTGGCGGAGGCACCGTGGGGCGGTAGGTCCTCGCTGACTTGCGTGGGGGGCGGCTCGGCTTCACCGAGGGGTTTTGCCCTCCTCCTGTGGTGGAAGCATCCGCGCCTGCTGCTGAGGGTGGAACAGCTGCTCCCGTGGGCTTAGCACAGACTGAAAAGAAACAGTACTGGTTTGCATCCAGGATATTTAATGTGCATATTGAAGATTAAAATGTAAATGCTGTATGAAAAAAATAATCAAAGCTGTATTGCAAATGCAAACACAACAGATTTACTTTATTTTCCATGTGGGATGGTGGTTTACTTGCACAGTGTCACCATGTCTGTCAAGGAGGAGTTGATTAGGTTTTCAGAGAAAGCAGTAACAATCCCAGAGTGAAACGAATAATAATAATAATAATAATAACAATAATAATAATAATAATAATAATAATAATGTAAGTGAAATAAAAGACCAGTGAAAAAGACTGTGGTTATAGTTTATGAGGAAGATTCACACCAGAATACTGGGTCGTCAGCATAATGTCAGAAGTGCTTCTCTAGCAAAAGAACTCTTTGGAGTTTGCTGACATTTACTATATTGTCAGTATGAAGAGCCAGAGTTTCCATGGCACTGAACATGTGCCAGATTTTAATGTCAAGTGACACAGATTTTTTTTTTTTATTTTTTTGTTTTGTTTTGTTTTTTCCCCAAAATGTGAAACATAGATTATAAGTAATTTGCTTCTGTGTGTGAGAATCTGACACCTTATGACACTATGTATAACACTTAGTTTGCTTTTCCGTACCTGAATTTACACTGTTACAACAGCAGAACAGGATGAAGAGGGGTAGCTGGGCCTATTCTCTAACAGCATATTGCATTTCCCACCTAACTGCTTTTTCCATTAAGTGGTACGGAGAGAAATAACATGTCTTATTAAGGATAGCAGCACTCGGAGACAATGACTGGAGGAAATTGCAACCATTTTGATTTATCTTGTCAAATTATATGGTTTTTAACATTAAACCATAACATTATATAAAGAATCAATGTGGTAATTAGTTTTTAGCTTCATTTATTGTGGAGAAGCTCTTAGATACAATGAATAGTTTCTTAGTTCTCTGAAGAATGGCTCCATAGGTTCTCTACATCTGCCTGGAGCTTCTGTATATACTGCATGTATAAATCAAGTGGGTATTTCCTGGGTATATGAAGTTGTCTTTAATTTTATGGAAGGATAGGATTTGACTCATAATCTCTGCAATGTTCTGGGCCGAAATTGCTCATAAATGTTCTCATTTGGGATTTCAGATCTTCCAAAGCACCCCCAAAGAAGTCCACACGTGGAGCATGAATATGATCAGATAGACTATGTGAAGTGTAACTAAAATGAAAATGCATAAATTAAGTAGATCGCACTTACATTGACTTCCACATTTTTGGAAGTATTTTATGATGTACAAGGGAAAGCTGAAAAGGTCTAAGTAATAGACTGACCTATTGTTAACCTTAAGGTGTGATTTGTAATTGTACTTCTTAACTATGTGTGATTGCATTTAGACTTTTTTTTTCCCAGACAGAATTTCCCAGGTCAAATATTCTTACGCATTGTCCCACTGGTGTGTTTTAGCAGTGCTTAAACTGAGACAGCCTGTGCAGCTGAAAGGTTAGTTTAGTGTTGTATCTCTCGCTCAGTTTAATTCATGCATGGTAATACTTCTGTTCACTCTAGAGTGAACTGAAAATACTATTTCCTCACAAGTCACAAAACAGTCATTGGGTGATAATGTTATTTGGTCATTCAACTCATGCAGCTACAATATCCCATAATAATAGTTCATACATCTGCTGTGAGAAACCTTCTTTTGGACAGTTACTGCAGAGTATGCTTCATTGCTGCACAGATTCAAACCAAGAAATTGAAAACATGATCAGTCCAGCTATCCCTTTTAACATTATTTATACAGTGTACTCGAAGGGTTCTTTCAGAGCTACTGTGGCCTATCTAGAAATTCCATCCAACAAATCTTTAATCTTGTCCTTACCTAAGTAGTCCCGTGGCTCTTCCTCAATAACTAGTTTTTGAGGCAAGTTTGGGGGGCATTAAATCAGTTCATTAGCAGTATGAGAGATGGGTTGTATAAGTACTACTGAAAAGCATTTCCAAAGCAATCGCTCTACATGGAAGATTTAAAAATCTGTTTCCTTTTCACTTCCTAAGAGAATTGTATTTGATAAAGGCTAAGTTATGTGTTATAATATAATTCTCTACAACAACTACTTCTAAATTATATGTTCATAGAACAATTACAGATGACAAATATTTCATTTTCTATTTGTGTAATTCTACTGCAGTTTAAGGTCTTCTACTTCAGAGCCACTCAGAAGTTTCTGAGAGGTGAAGGTGGTAGTAACACAGGCCTCTGTGCACAGTTTTCTGGACTGTTACCATCAGTGTGCTGTTACCATCTCAGGCACCTTCACAGACTGGGCTGGTTTGCTGCCTATCCACCTACTGGGTATCACACCATCTTCCTGTGGTCATGACCTAGGGTAGAGACTGCCTGAAAGCACCAGTAAAATTATAAGAACAGTGAAGTAAAAATGTGGTAGAAGTTAGGAATCACTTTTTTTACCTTATCGAGTCTCCTTTATGCTAAAATTTATGCTAACAGTGCTGTAGACTCATCAAAACTTTCCAGCTGTCTCTTAAATTTTTATGAGACTTTTGAAAAACATATCGGTGTTCCTAAAAAAAAGTGGCTAACATTGTCTCAAAGACAGATTATCAACACCTATTGCAGAAGCATCCTCACGAATTTCTGCCTCACTCATAAACCTGCTAAACTTGTAGGGCCAAACTCAGGAGATGGTACAGGCAGCGGTAACAAACACTGCCCATTATATCTGTAGGTTGAGTTTGGCTACTGACACTTCCTCTGAAGCTAGGCCACTGACTGCCAAATGTGTGGTGGTCTTGCTGCATATGTGCTGAAAAGTATAAAAATAATTTTAATTCCTTACCTCACAGAGCATGCACAAACACTGCTGAACCATTCAGTGAACATAGAGACCGGAGTCTGCTCTGTAAATTTTAATAGGTTACCAAATGAAAGTAGAATTTACTTCATAAAACATTTGCTTTCATTGGTCTTTAGATGAAAACAACGTGAAAAGAGCATGGAAAATAAGTACTCGGGCCAAAGATACTAAACTCATTGGCTTAAATTGAGTTACAATTCCTTATTTAAATATCTAAATAAGTGGCCTAATCAGCAAACATGTTGAATATCAGCTTATCCTAGCAACTTTCCTTACTGAGTGTTTTGCACACTTCAGTGATAAAACTAGTAATTTGAGTACATAAAATACTATTTTAGGCACTTCTAAAAACACTTGACCATTACAATACTGTTTTTCTGAAGACGTCATTTCAAATAATAAAGATTTTTTGTATATACTGAAATGTTCTTAAAACACTTTGATTTCCTTTTCTAAAAAAGTTACTATTTTTTTCAAAGAGCTTTTCACAAGAATAGAGTTATACAACCTAGTGGTCTGAGGAAGAGTAGAACACTGCAAAATAATTTCTTTAATTTAGGTAACTTCTTTCATTCATTCAAAGTCATTCTTCAGTTATGTGTAGATACTATTGCTGAAAGGTTAGTGTGTGTTCACTGTAGTACTCAAATTCTAAAAACTACATGCTTAATGGCATGGTTTTTTCTCTGAAATATTAATTACTCGTGACCAAAGGTTAAATGCCTGTCAAAATTATGGTACTTCCTAACAAAGTAACTTTTCCATCCATTTGACCATTTTTATTCATTTAATACTGTTTCATCATACATCACTTTTACTTGATTTCAGATAGACATAAGAATTGACAGGGTTCTGAGGACAATTAATCTGTCAGATCATTATTTCCAGGTTGTCTAAAAGCACTGTTACTTAGATTCTGTTTACTTTACTTCCAGAAGCTGCAATGAAACCTTCATCTTGCAGCTAATACTTTTTTTCATAGTCTGCTAGCATCCCATAATCTTCACTTTTCTCACTTCTTTACTTGGTGAAGTTTGTATAACTTTTGTTTTAAAAACATTTCACACATACTTAGCCTATGCTTCCTTTAGCCTCACAGATGATGAAGTTTTTTCAATGCAGTATGACATCATCAAACATATATGGCCCTCTCATCATTTTCCAAATAATTCTGTGAATGTAATTGGCAAATGTCTATTTCTATTTTGAAATAACCTTATAGTATCAAAGATCTGTGATACACATATTTTCTTTCTAAACAAAGATGGTGCTTGGTTTCCATGAAATCGTATTTCACCTTGGTTTTCTAAAATATCTCAAAAGGTGAATTTTCTAAAAACTTCAAATAGCATCTATTCACTGCAGATACTGGTCAGTTTGGGGAATAATTATATTTGTAGCATTTGTTTTTCCCACTTTCCCACACATCTTAATTGCTGGTATTTTAAACTGACGTCTTTACTCATGTTTATACCAAAATTATCCATCGAATCAAAAGCTGAAGAGCCAAGCAGCTGTTTCTATCACGACAGTTCACTTGACCAAAGCAGGTTTGTGTAGATTTCTTAGTACATGATATCTTCTGCTGTAACATTTGCTTCTTCTGTTTTAGTCTTAATTTTAGGGAAATGAATTCCACTAATGGCCATTAGCAGTAAATTGACTGCATGTGCTGTGGCACTTGCCACACAAAGCCAGAAGCAGTCCTCAAACTGTTCTTCTAAGACAACAAATTGAAAGATATTTTCCCGAAAATTGGCAATTATTTCTGTGAGGTGATGAAGTTTCACAGCAGCCATAAAGCTGGTGACTGCAAGTACTATAAATCCACCTGCAACAAAATGAAAGAAGTCAAAACAAGACAGACATTTTGGCTGTGCTTCAGAAGACTTACAGAATAAAACAGTGAGTGCTATACAGAGTAGGGACAGACTTAGGCATGGCTTAAACACCCTCAAAATACTTTATTGTATGGCCAAACGTGATACCAGTGCTTGTAATGAAGTCCTACTATCAGTGATATAGAGCCTAAAGACAAGCATTCATACCTCCTGGAAGAAGTTGACTAGACACAATAAGCCAAGATGCCACCTGACAGTTCTGTTTTGATAGATGAGAATTAACTGCTGACTGAATTTTATTCACAAGTATTTAAGTCAATGAGATATTTAATAAGGCAAGAGAAGGAACTTTTAACATTTTGTATGAATGTGACTGGTGAAAAATACTGGTAAATGATTTTACCTGCAAGGAAGTTCCAGAGGCATACTCCTGCTGGACCTTTAATAGCCCGGTAAGGAACTTTTACTGTGTTAAGAATGCAGAATCCAAAACTGACCAGAGTAAAGAAAATGGCCACACAGAGGAACATTATAATCATCACGTGCAGGCCTGTATTCAGCTTTTTCACCATGTGTGGGAAAACTGTCAAGAAAAAAAATCATCTATTCAGTGTGTATTTTTTCTTGACAACAGTAAACATCATGCTGTGCTGATGCTACAAACTTTAATTATACTTAAACAAGACTATTCCTTACAGTAGTGATCAATTCGGGTAGTTACACACATCTTACTTCATGATGCTTTGTCACTACATCAGACAAAACCAGGGGTATTCTACTACAGGAATAATCCTTTACACAGGGTCTGTGAATAAGGAATCAAGCTTAAGTCTTGTTTTATTTATCTAGTTGTCTTAATGTCTTTATCTCTGCTGCTGCATCATCTGCTGCGTTGTTTCATATCTCTTCTTCACTACTGCTCTCTATCCAAAACTCCTTTTTCTGAGCTTCCCATTCCTGCCCCATGCTTTTAATCTCATCCCGTTGCGGTCTGATAGTCCCAGTCTCCTGCCTAAAATAGTATCACTCCTTTCTGTGTTTATTTTCTTGTTACTCATCTTTCTCTCTCTTCCTCTCTTTAATAATGGCTCCAGTGAGACCTACTCTGATTTCATACTTCCTAATCCCATAGGTTTCCACTTTCAGATTCCTTTCTTGGTTTCTCATATAGTGTTTATGGCCCCATCGTGCTTTTCTGGGTACCTGGCAGTGTTTTAGTTACACCTGTAGGAAGCTTGTAAAGTAATGCTGTTAGGCAGGCGGTAGGTGAAAGGCTCCCATGTTTTGCTATAGGCATGAGCTCTTCCTCAGCAGCCTGTCACTCGCCTGTCTCTAAAGAACAGTAACTTTATTGGTTTTGTCTTCACAGATGGTGTTACTTCATTGGAGGACCAGGCTGGCCAGCAGCAGGGAAGTGTGGAGCACCTGAGTGTTCAGTTTATCCTGCAGCCCTTTAGTAACAGAATCAGAAGAAATGTGAGTAGGGAATTGTAGGTGACATGCTGACTGACAGGAAAGAGAGAAGCTGATGGAGAAGAACCCTAAAACACAAGCTGATCAAGAGCCCTTCAGGTAGTGTAGCACTGCATGCTCATACATATTTTGAAGAACTAACTGCCTAATTACTAAAAAGAAGGTACATTATATTAGAAACAAATAAATAGATTGCTTCCTATGCTGCATAACTGAAAAAAAAATCCAAACAAGCCACATAAAAACTGGTCAGCAATAATTGGTAGATGTCACAGTAAATATCAGGTGTACAATTTGGTCATCATGACATGACAGAATTCTAGTAGATTATGTAGAAAACTTCATACTGTACAAATTCCATACAAACAGTCATGATTCCAGAGTTCTACCTTTTCAGTAGCTCATTCTGGGGTTGTAATAGGGGCTGGTCTACATGGGAGCTACAAAAGAGACTCTGACAACAAGAAGAAAGGATGGCAGTAAATGAGAATCAGAAGTATACAGGAGAAATGGGAAGCCAGAAACTAGTTTGCTTTCTTACTGGAAAATAACTGGCAGTGTAACAAGGCCTGTGGAACTTGGCCTTCTTACAAACCAGCATAGTTTTTAGAGTGGTTGTAAGGATTCTCGTGCCCCTTTTTTGAGACTCTCAACCAAGTCCTGAAAACATGACCAGTGAGCCGGGCTTGGTATGCAGAAATAAGAATCCTCAGGAAGGATATTGCCATGGAGGCTCCTGACACATTCCAGCTGTGTTTGCTATGCACAGGCAAAATGCCTGGCTCCCCCAGCTCATTCTCAGGTCTTAATTCAGCAGTGAAAACATAAGCATCTTAGGCCAATTTAGATGCCTTAGGACTATCATAACAACCACGTGGGTCTAACATACATGCTGCGCTGTGTATGGAACACCTCAGAAGCAGCAGCTGGAGGCCAGATGATACACACCTTGAGGAGTCTAAAATAGCACTGGACACCTATTACAGCAATTGAATCATGCTGTCACTGTCCCAGTTAAAAGAGAGCATGCCAGCTGTAAGCCTACTCTAGTGAATGTTAACACAGTGAAAGGTGATGTACTAATAGCCGTGTATTACTGTGATTAGGAATTCCAAAGTGTCACAGCTGCTGCAGTACCACCATGTATGAGGTGCTCTTTTGGTCTTGCTCTCTGCTGCCTGAGCAGTCCATTTAGGCTAACACATGCAAGAAAACTCTCCCATGTCTTGCTTCCCAGTAAGTTCAGAATGCTTGGGAGATCAAGGGGGACTTTCAAAGCAAAAAAAGTCAAGTCAGACCCAGAACACCCAGAAGTCCTGCTGACCATTGTGCAAAAGTATTTCACAGCCTTGTATGCTATCATGAAACCATTTTGCAGTATCACGGTATTGTGAAAGTATTGAACCCAAGATCTATTTTACAACCACTGCAGTCAGAAACAAGTTGTGCAATGCCACGCTGGAACTGAAATTTCTTTCTTTTGGGGGAGCACAGATTTCTCACCAGGAATAGCAACAGTTGTTATCTCTGGGATGTACAAGTTTCATGAAGTGAGCAAATAAATTGGGGTATGAGAATCAAAAGGTATTATCCTAAGCAAATTGTTTTTTCAGGGAAGAAATACTGAAAACTAACACAGAAATTAAAATATTAAAATATTTAAAAGGGAAAATCTCTGGGACACTTGTTCACCTAAATTTGTGGTTGTGCCCACTGCACTTAATGATCCAATTTTACAGTTCCAACAGGAGAATTCTTACTAGCTTTAGTGAGAGCTTTGGTTGTCTAAGGAGTATAGGATCATGCCCTCCAAATACGTATCAGTGCAGTCCAGGGTGACCGTGGAGCATTAGGCCTTCCTCTCAAGGTACATAGTAATTAATCAGAAAGTTTATTAAAGAGTCCAGAAAGTTGTACAGAGATTTAAAGGAGATTTGCTACCTTTTTTCCTCATCCTTTCTGCCAGGATAGGGTGAAAGAACTGGGACTGTATTTCTGAATGCCCTGAAGAGGAGCAGAGCAGAGCTGGAAGAGGTTTGACCCGATGGCCTGTCTGTCAGCCATTCAAACGCACTAGTCAAAGGATTTGAGCATGACTGCTACATCTGTGTCATGAAGTTGTAGCTGCAGTCAGAGCTTGAGCAAGACTTGGTTATTATAAAAGCGACTATCTAAATTCATCACAGCTTAACAATGGGTCATGCTGATCTAAGTTGAGGTTGCCCTCATTCTTGTCTTCGTTCCCTCTGAAGTCCCACGGTCCTGCCTTCCTTTGAGTTTTTATAGTGGTGCTTGAGCAGTTGTGTAGTCAGCTGTGATCCTATGGGAAACTAGTATTTCTTTTTCTGTAGGTAAATATTTTGGCCAGCTTAACTTCCTGAACTGCCTCACTACAGCAAGTACTAGAGCCATTGCAAAGGATGGGGCAGGACAGCACTGCTGTAGGCCTGAGAGGGGGTGAGACTGCAGCAGCTTCAATTTATTTGTTTAAGTTGCAGTGGATCTGCGCAGTGAACTAAAAATCTTCAATGCAAAATATTTTCACTACAGCACAGGATGTGAGAAAACTGGAAATCAACCAAAGTACAGATCAACATCTGAGTTCTTTTGAGACCTCAAGAAAATATTTTAAGTTAAAAGGAATACATTTACAAGAGTTTCTACATTTTTTAAGAGTTCAGCATTTTTTTCTCTCCAAAGTTACCAGAAAATAAGGTAGAAATTTCTTCAACATGTAAATAAAGTTAGGAGTATCTACTATGGCAGACATCTCTGTCAGGACAGCTAGAGAAATACAGAAATGTGGCCAGCTAGGTAAATCTCTACTTCTTAAAGGGGAAAAAAAGTTAGGAGTTCCACAAAGGGGGCAAGGACAGAGCCACAGAGACACTGCAGAGCAACACTTGGCACTGGAAAGAGTCAGTCAAGGGGAAAGTATGATTTACAGGGTCATCTCCACATGACTTTCACTCCCTTCACAAGACTAAAAGGAAACCCTCAATCTACCCATAGGGATTTTGTATTTTTCAATCTTGATTCCAGGATCAGAACTGGAAGAAAGAAGCTAGCCTGAAATAACAGAGATTTTACATTCACAGTCAGATCCCAAACCATAAAGACCACAAGTCAGCCACAAATATAAGTTTAATAACAATCATTTGCATTCTATAGAAGAGGGAGTGCTTTTAAAAAAAAAAAAAAGAATAGAGTGCTTTTAAAGCTAAAATAGACATTAGACTAAAGATTCAACCAAAATTGTACTTACTTGTAAATTTGGAACGCCGCCCACCCAACCCACACTGGCGTATTTTGCCGCCCTGAAAGAGTCCATAATAAATTTCTCCAATGAACTTGACCAGCTCTGGATCTGTGGCGTTGACCAAATCAGCTCCCGTTTTGCAAAGGATCTTTCCAGTCATCCACTTTGGGGTCCCCATTGCAACAACAATCAAGATAAAAGACACAAAACTTACTAGAGAAGCCAAGGCAAATAAAGTCTTTTTAAAGCAGCCAGGCATCCTAGTGGTTTCAAGGAATCATCTCCAAGGCCTCTCTGCAGTGATCAGGCACGTTTCGCATTTTTTCTCATGCTCTGAAATCCACAAATGAATAGCAGGCATTTCAAAATACATCTCATTGTATTTTGAAGGTTCCGAAATTAATCTGTATGGTTAAAAATCAAGTCTAAAAATATATTTTGCTGCAACATCCTGAAACGCTTGCAAGGAACAGCTTCATTACACTGTAGTGTGGTGATGCTTGTTTCTGCAGAAAGTAATCTTATATCTGTTGCCTGGATAATGTTTCATCAGACGTTTAATTGTCCTGCTCAAGTGACATCAAGTTCTTTACTGTAACTTCACGGGAATAAATTTAGGAGCAGAATCCAGTTTTTTAGATTATTAAAAACGTGGGTAAGTAGCTGTGTGCAAGGGACAAAGCATTAAAAGCGTTTAATTTGGCATCAGGATTCTGCGGGTATCCCAGCGGTCCCACCCGGCGGGCCTCTCAGCGTCACCGCTGCCTGTCAGAGCCACCAGGGCCGCGCCCTGGGCCTCGGAGCGGTGCCCCTCCGTCTCTAAGCCTGGTCACCGAGGAACACAAACGTTGTTTTACATACGAATCTGCTGAATTAAACCGAGAGGCACGCAGCTGCAAGCGGCGTCATTCAAGCTACCGGTGCGGGCTGGGAGTGAGAAAGCAAACCCGCCATGGTTGCCGGCGCTTCTACGGTTACTGCTACTCAAGACCTGCAGGGGCCCTTTATAACCACTAATTAATTAATCCTGGCAGTGGCCCCGCGGGGCGGGTAGCGCGGTCCGCCGCTGGAGCTGCACCCGGGCGGGGAGGGGGCCTGTCTGTCCGTCTAACACCGGCACGCCTGCGGCAGCTCTCCCCGAGGCGCTGAGGGCCCGGGGGTGGGGGCGGTTTCCTGAGGTAAAAGCTTCGCGGCACCGCCCGACTCCTCCTCCGGCTCCGTGCCAGCCCCCGGGAAGGCGGCAGCAGGACCCGCCCCGCCGCCGCCGCCACCCCCGCCCTGAGCCCGCCCTGCGCGGCGGGGCCGGAGCCAGCGCCAGAGCGGGGGCAGCGGGCGAGCATGGCGGCGGCGGGCAGGGTGCTGGTGTACGGGGGCAGAGGGGCGCTGGGCTCCCAGTGCGTGCGGTACTTCAAGTCCAGGAACTGGGTGAGCGCCGGGGCGGGGGGTGGCGGGGCGGGGACCCCCGCTGAGGGGAGGGAGCCGGCGGCGGGGGGCAGCGCCCGGCGTTTGGGCCGCTAACGCTCCGTGCCTCTCGCCGCGACAGTGGGTGGCCAGCATCGACCTGGCGGAGAACGAGGACGCCAGCGCCAACGTCGTGGTGGTGGCGACCGACTCCTTCCCCGAGCAGGCCGAGCAGGTGGGCCAGCGCCGGGGGGCGGGGGGCCGCTGCGGGCGGCCCCCTCGGGGCGAGGTCGGGGGGGGTGGGGACCGGGGGGGGGGTTTGGGAGGTTCAGCGCGGAAGGCAGTTTTGCCTTATTTTTCTCTTGATGACTGATTCAGATGAATACAATGAGGATGGATTAGGACATCTTAAAATGCAACACTTCTTTCTGATGTCCTCTTAAATGTGTTGTGTGTCGGTAGATGGTATACTCAAAGCGTGCAAGCCCAAAGCCCTGATGGGATCCCTAGCGAATGCACTGGTTTCCACAGAGGTAAAGATAGGGAAATCCAAGCTAGCCTAAAAACTGGTTTGTTTTATTCTCAAGAGATATGATTTTTTTTATTTTATTTTAATTTTTGAACCTCCATATCTTGCTGTTAAACTCATTCACTAGCCTGTATGTTTTCATTATATCCACACAACTCTTAGGGCTTTTGAAGAGTAATGTAGAATGTTTGCAATGTATTTTTTCAATGCCAAGCCTTTGGGAAAACCAGTAAATTTTATTCTTTTGTTGAGAGATGGATTGTTTGCTTTTCAATTTGACAGAGAAAATTTGTAGCCAAGAAATTAATTACCAACTGCGAAGTCTTATATTTGAAAGAAAAAAAAAAAAGATGCCGGATGTCTAAAAGTATGCAGACTCAAATTTAGAGGCCAGACTCAAACTGATGGTTATGGTCTAGATAAAAGCAATAAGAAGGCTAATCTTTAGTTGTTCATTTCTTGTACCGTTGTCAAAAGTGATGCCAGTAGTCCTGGTCAGACCCGGAGTTTCATTTCCCATATTAAACAGCACCATAATCAGAGGAGAATCCGTCAAAAAGTAAGTCACAACTGAAAATTTTTGCAAATGATATAGGTAAGGGTCTTTACTCAAATCAGTTATTTCCAGTGACATCACGTACTGTACAGTCTGACTTTTCATCTATAATTATCTTTCAACACCGTTATTTTTGTTTGGGTTCATAGTTCATAAATGTCAATTTTCTGCAGTTGTTTAAATTGCTGTGTGTTGCGTTACTTGGCTACATAACTGGAAAAAAAGTAACTTTAAGGCTGTCTTGATATTCCTTTACCTTATGTGTTTTCAGTATGCTTTTGTTTTATGTGTTGAAGGTGACAACAGAAGTTGGAAAACTTCTTGGTGAAGAAAAGGTGGATGCAATCCTGTGTGTAGCAGGAGGATGGGCTGGAGGCAGTGTCAAAGCTAAATGTAAGCCTTTGGTACATGCATGCTAGTGAACACATGAATAAAATAGGAGAGGAATCCTTGAAAATCGTGGTAATAAAGATGTTTGAGATCATCTTTCTTTCTGAGTCCGGAAGAGGACATGAGCGTAAGAGTACAAAATAGCTCAGTCACAGTATCTCTGGATTTTTGCTGTCTGTTAAATTTGCACAGTGCTTAGTATTCTCAGGAATACTTTTTGACACACCAGTTTTCATTAGAAAAATCTTGATGCGATTTATAAAGGCGTTCAGCATTATTATCTATGAACTAATTTTTGTCAAGGTTACCTGTGTCAGGCAAGTTACAAAAGACAGTGGCTGGGTAGAAACATCGATGTTGGTTCCTGATTCATTGCTTTATGCATAAGTAGCTATCTGAGCTATTACTGTGCAATACAGTTTTGGAAGGGGCTGTCTAATGACCTAAGATTATGCTACAGAAAAAACCTGTCAGTTCAAAACAAGCTTTTAAACATGTAATATTCAGAATGAAATTTTATACTTTACCCATTAGTGTAGAGGTACGAGGGGAAAAAAAAAAAAAAAAGCCTTGTTTTCTGTCTGGAGTAACTCTGGTAAGATATGTCCTTTTCTTCCCCTGCTTCCGGTTCAGGCATTACAGGCAAATATTTCTTTTTAAAGAGACAGAATGGAAAGTCATACACACTTATATCACAGTTGCATTATATTAGATTGTTATTAGTGTGCACTGTATTTTAAATAAGGTAATTTATCATAACCATGATTTATAGTAATGTTCTTGATAGGGTATCAGGGTATCTTGGGATAGGTGGTCAATTTACGTCACAGAGTTATTTATGCTTATTCCATATTGTGTTATGGAAACGGTTCTTTCTGAGTACTCAAGTCTTTGACATGGCTAGTTACCGTTATTTCTTCTCATACAGATATTGATAATAAAAAAATAATTATGAGAGTTCAGATTTCACTTTCATTTGAAATTATGGGTGTACATCCACCGGTGGGCTGCCGCACCAGAGGTCACACTCCAGTGCGTAGGGGTGTGCATTGTGGATTTTCCATACCAGCGTACTCCTGACAGACATGCAGATTGTTTCTTGATTTATAAAGTGATCTGGTGATAAGAAAATATTTTTTGTTCAACTCTTTTGTCTCTCGGGAGTCTTTTATCTGCATACTAATGGAGCATAGCTCTTTTGCAACCAGGGAGGAAGTTATGGAAAGAGACAGATCATGCTACTACAAGGTGAGATGAGGCTAATGTGAGAGTTTTGAGATCCTTGACGTAGATTGAAGCAACTCCTACAGGAGTTTCAAGAACTTGGAAATCTTTGAACCATTAATGGAGAGCTAATGGAACTCTTGTGTTTGCTTATTTTTTTTATTTCTGGTAGTGAGAAGGCAGATTATTGCCTAGAATATATGCTGTAGAGATGGGACACGGACCCCAAAGAAAAGAGGGATACAAAAGACATAAATTGATACGTTACATAACATGGAAGTAAAAAATGATAGAAAGCATGTTTTCATAGGCCTATAACAGTAAGGAAATTAGAGTTAGAAGTCTTCTATCTTTTATCTGATTTCACTAATTCTCTTTCTAATCAGCTTTATACAAAAACTGTGATCTGATGTGGAAGCAGAGCGTTTGGACATCAACTATCTCCAGCCATCTGGCCACAAAACATCTGAAAGAAGGCGGCCTCTTGACTTTGACAGGAGCTCAAGCTGCTTTATCTGGAACTCCAGGTAAAATGCGATGCATGGTAACTGCTGGGACATCAGCAGTTACAGCAATCTTGGAGTCTGAGCATTCTTGTTTGTGAAGCAAGTTTCACTCCCCAGTTTCTTAGCATCTAGTACAAATGGAAAATTGCTACTGAAACACTTAAGGAAAGTGTAATTTGACCAGTAGCAATACCAAATCTCCTGTAGCTGGAGTGCAAACAGATAGAATCAGTATTTAAATAATATTTGACATGCATTTGTGGAATGTACCTGGCTCATATATGATACAGTAAAAAAAAGTTCAGAAAATAATGAAGACTGGAAGCACACAGCAAGCTGTAAGTACAGTGTTTAAATAAAGTTAAATCTATTTGTGTTCTGAAAGGCAGAGTCCTTAATTGCCCAATTTTTCCATTAGTGGTGACTCGACTGATCCTGTTAACTGTGCTTGTCCTGTTTGTGTTCTGATTCCAGTCTGCCTTTGCTTCAGACATAGATAAGCTCGTTGACCTTCAGCTTTGGCTTCCACTAGCTATTTAATACGAATACTGAGTTTTTTTCATCTTGCTCTTCACCATGGTGGTCTGCATGGAGGAAGAAATCTGGAAGCAATTTAAAATTAAAAAAAAAAAAGGCACTGACACACAAGCCCACAGTCAGGGAGTGGAAAGTTTTTGAGACAAATACTCTTATTTCCCAATCTTTTATTAGTGTTACTTCAACAATATTTTGATGAGACATAGATACTAAAATTTTAAAACATAAAATTTATGAATATTCCTGAAAGCTGTGTGTAAAACTCTTCAGGAAAAATATACTGTATTTTCTAGTTAATGATTTATCTTCTGTGTTTACAGCTGCATCTGTCATAGTCCAAAGATAAAAGGCTTATTTTATGAGAATAAGCAGACATAATTTACTGTGTGCTACGACTGACCATATACAAATGAGAAAATGTGAACTCTGGCAAACTTTCCTGTTTCTTGCTTGGGTGGTTTTGGGAGGTAGGGACCACAACACAAGAATCTAAGTTGTTTGCTTTCATGTTTTGGACTAGCTGGTTTCAGTGAGTCTGTATTTTTCTAAAAAAACACAACGGTGCTTTAGGCAAACACATGCAACTTATTAACGTAGGAAGAATTGGGAAAGAGTTGTTACTCAACTTTTGCAAATACGACTTTTTAGGCTTGTTACTACCAGCCATTATGGAAGGAATAACCTTTTTCTTGTTTACTGTTAGTATGGTTTTTTTCTTTTCCTATGTGAAAATGTTGACTCGCGTAATGAACTGAAGAATACTGAAAAATACTGAAAAGTATATAAACAGTTACAGAAGCAATCTGTCAGTGATGGCTAAGAAATGTAGAAGCGTGAAAAGATTTAAGTAGACTTGGAATGTTTGGTTTAGCCAAGACAAGATGGGAATATAATAGACGTGGAAATATTTTTATCATAACAATAAAAGAAGTTAGCTACTGCTGCCCATGATTCTTGCTAATAAAAATGGATGTTATACAGTATGTCTAATTGAATGTAATA